CCGGGATGTCCGCGCGCTGCTGGCCCAGCGGCCTCCCCATGGCCTCAGCGAGGCTCCGCTGGGGCTCGAGGGGTTTCGGGAGTTCGACGCCGGATTGCACACGACACTGAGCCAGCTGGAGGCGCGCATGGGCAGGCTCGCCGAGGGCCTCGCCCTGAACTCCATCTTCGGGGCCTGGGAGGGGGGGCTGCCAGCGACTGAAAGCCCTGAGCCGAGTGGGCCTTCAGCGCGTTTGCAGGGCCGTGTTGCCGCGCTAAACGTCGCGGGGGCCTTCTGCATGGGGGGCGGTGTCGAGACGGACGAGGGCCGCATGGTGACAATTTGCGCTGGTCTCCAGGCGGCTGGGGTGATCGCGGCGGTGGTGTCGGAGCCTAAGTTGGCGCCAGGCCTGCACTGGCCAGAGTGGACGGGCTACACTTACCATGACGAGCGGAGCGATGGGCCGGACAACGTCGGACTCCTGGTTGCCACCCCGGTGGCGGCAAGGCTCCTGCCGGTGCCGGGAGTGGGCGGGCCCCGTGCCATCTGGTGCGAGTTGCCATTGGAAGGCGGCCCTGGCATCTTGCTGTTGGGGATCTACGCTCCGCCCCCTCACTATGGGGTGGCGGTCCGAAAGCTTTTCTGGCAGCAGCGCTGGGAGGAATGGGTTGAGCTGCAGGGCCGCCCGAGGTTCCGGGACTGGAGGCTTGTTATGCTTGGCGATTTCAACCTACACTTTGCGTGCCTGGGCATAGCCAATCGGCGGGCCGAGTCCTTGCTGGACCGCGAGATCCTCGACCTGCTTCTGCGCCCCTCTGGCTTTGGCGCGGTGCTCAGAAATCCAGTCGAGGTGGGGACGCACAGGAGTGGGACCATCATCGACGTAGTGGCCTCTTCCGCCGATTTCCCCGTGAGCGTGGTGGTCGTGCCGTGCGGGTCCGCAGGTGTCCCGGGCGACCATGCGAGGCTTGACGTCGCCCTCCCGGCGACTTTCGCCGTGAACGTTGAGATGACGCTCGGCCGCAGTAGGTGGGGGCACGGGGACGAGTGGGACGCTGCGCTTGGTCACGTGGCGACGGCGCTCAGCTTCATTGGAGGCTGGGCTGGTGCCGCGATGAGGAGCAGGGAGTTCAGGGAGTGGACGGCCCGCGGGGCAAAACGAGGTGTACGACAAGGACTGTTGGACCGCGCTGTGTGGTACCGCTCGGTGGTGTACACCTTGGCAGGCCATTTCGGAGGCCTCGTGCTCGTGGCAAGACGCCCACCCCACGTGCGAGCGGCCTGCCTGGGCAGGCGTGCCGGGGAGGAAAAGGCAGCACTTGCAGAGGAGGCGTTGCAACCTGCAGGGATCGCCGCGCCTGACGCGGACCAACTGGCCTTAGAGGATGAACTCGCCGGCACGCGGGCCGAGCACCGGGCTCGGGCTCTGGACCGATATCTGGAGCTCGCGGCGACCTCCCGCGGCGAGGCGGAGAACTACGTGAGCGGGCTCCTCAAACCGCGCGAGCCGCTGCAGTTGGCCCTCTGGGACCCAGATTCGGGCAGGCGGCTCGGCCCCGCTGAGGCGATCGAGGTAGTGACTGCGTCCATCCTTGGCCGGGGCGCGGCGGCGGGCCCGGGCGTGGCGTCCTTCAACGCGCAGGTCCGCGCGGAGGTCCGGGCAGCCCAGACTGCAGCGCTCCGCGAGACGGCGGAGGAACTCGGCGACCCCTTGTCGCAGGAGCTGGTGGCGGAGATCGTCCAGCAGGCTCGCGCCTCTCGCAAAACGCTCCACTTGCCGCGCGCCGCGGCAAAGGCAGCGCAGGCGCCGGGCCGCCTGGTGACGTGGGCCGTTCTCAACTTGGCGCTGGTTTCTGGCCTCTGCGCAAGTGAGTGGATGCGGGAGATATCCCCGATTCGCAAGAGGGGGCCCCCGGTGGTAAGCGACCCTGCCGTCCTCCGGCCCATCAGCTACGTTGGGGACCTTGAAGGGTTTCTGGATGCTGGTTGGTTGGCCGTCACCCGCCCGCTGCTGGAGCAGTTCGCCGGCTCTGAGCAGGCAGGGGGGCGCTATGATGCGACGCTCATGGCGGCTGGGCTGCTCATCGCGCTCCAGGTGCGGCGCGGGCTGGGGCTCCGCACGGTGGTCCAGAAAGCGGACCTGCTGCATGGGTTCGACATGGCCTGGCGCGACGGCGTGCTGCTGCAGCTGCGCCGGGCTGGACTGCGCGGGCGGTGGTGGCTCGCGGCGGCGGCATCCCTCAGCGAGGAGCGCGTGCGAGTGCGCGTTGGGCCCCTCGTGGGTCAGATCGCCACGCTCCTTGACTTCGGGGTGGGGCAAGGCAGACGCGGGGGCGTCCACATGTTCAGCGCGCTTGTCCGCGCTCTCACTGACGCCTGCAAGGTCGCCGCCCAGCCGCTCCCACTCGCGGAGAGCGCCCCGGCGAGCGCCCCTCCCCCCTCCCTGCCGATGCTGCAGTTCGTCGACGACACGTTCGTGTTGCAGCCAGACGAGACGGGGGTGATGCGGGCCAACGCTGGCTTGGGCGCTTTCTGTGCCGCCTATCGACATCGCTACCAGGACGGCAGCAAGGGCCCCGCTGCAATGGCGGTGGGCCGGCCGGCCGTAGACCCCAGCAGGTGCGGCACCATCGGGGCCGTCGGGGTCCGCGCTGTCAGTCAGCTCGAGGTCCTGGGCATCCCGGTGGACGCGGAGCTCTCCTTGGATCCGCTCCTGACACGCACCTGCGCAATCCTCCGGGACGGCGCGCGACGACTGACGGCCGCTCTCTCGGACCAGGGGTTCGGCCTCCCCATGATCGTTGGTCAGGTCCCGAGCCGCGTCGAGTCCGCCGCGCTGTATGGCACGGAGCTGCTGGCGAGCCATGCGCGTGGCTGGGCCGCGGTCGCGGCCCAGCTAAACCGCGCATACTACGACGCGGCGAAGGCGCTCTTGGGGCTCCCTCCGGGCACGTCCTTTGGCGATGGGGGCTACCTCCGCGTCTTCCTGGAGACGCGACTGTTGACGCGCGTGGCCGCCAAAGTCGCCCAGCGCATCATTCTGGCGTGGGCTCGGCTGCTGGTGCTCCCCGAAGGCTCGCCCGTCGCGCCCGCGGTCCAGGCGGCGCTGGCAAGCGGCAGAGGCACTTGGCTCCAGGACGCAGCCGCGGTGGCTCGGAGCCTCGGGGTGGGGCCGCCGCCCGACGAGCTGAAAACCGCGGCGGCGGAGGGACCGGCGGCCCGCCGCAGGGTGGTGCGGCTATGGGCGCGGTCCTGCGTTATCCCGCGGGTGCGGGAAGCGGAAAGGGTGTGGTTTTGCGAGCAGCTGGCCAAGCTCAACGACACGGGGCTGCTGCCGATCGCGGCTGTCCTTCCCCTGCGGCAGGCCTGGCCGGAGGAGCTCCGTTGGGCCTCCTGGGGCCAGACCCAATGGAGGTTCCACCGCGCCTGGTGCGTGGCGCGTGTCACGTCCGAGCTGCCAACTGCCATCTGGGGCGTGGGGGCGGCCCGCCTGCCGACCACCTGTGCCTTGTGCGGCCGAGAGCCGGCTGGGCTGCACCACCTGCTGGTCCGGTGCTCGGGTTCTGATGCGCTCCGTGCCGCCCTGCTGGAGGTATGGGCGCCGCCGCCGGGGCTGGCGGAGTGGGTGCTCGCCGACACCGACGACCTCGGGGAGCTCGCGGCGAAGGTCCGTTACCTGGGGCTCTCCTGCGCGGCGCTGGTGCATGCCGCGCGCAGGTAAAAATGCCTCCCTTCCCCCGACCTGCCGCGGCTGCTGCCCTCCTCCTCCCCCTCCCCCTCCCCCTCCTCCTCCTGCTCTCACCCTCCCCGCCCTCCCTCGCATTCGCGCTGAGCGAGCCTGCAAAGCCCGCCCGACCACCCGGCGCCCTGTCCCACCTGCGGGGGGATCGGCCCCCGGGCGGCGGGGAGGCTGCGAGGCTCGCCCGGCGTTAGGGCCGGCCCCGAAGGGAGCGCAACGCACGCCGCGCCTGCCCGGCCCGCCCAGGCCCTCCGGGGTGACTGGGGGGCCCGGTGGCCCGGACCTGCAACAGGCGCATCCCCGGAGGGCCCAAGCCCGCTGTCCCCGCCGCGCTGGCCCATAGGCCCTCCGGGGTGGCGGCGCTCGGGGCGGGGCGGTCAAGCCCCGAGGGGCCTTCCCACACCTTGGCAGTCCATATTGGCAGTCCACCCCTCCCCCTCCTCCTCTTCCTCCTCCTCCTCCTCCTCCGCCGCCGCCGCCTCCTCCTCCGTCTCCTCCTCCGCCGCCGCCGCCTCCTCCGCCTCCGCCTCCTCCGCCTCTTCCGCCTCCTCCTCGTCCTCCTCCTCTTCCTCCTCCGCTTCCTCCTCCTCCTCCTCCTCCTCCTCCTCCTCCGCCTCCGCCTCCGCCTCCGCCTCCTCCTCCTCCTTCTTCTCCACACTGGTCCCCCGCCTCCTCCTCCTCCTCCTGACCACAAGTATACTGCAGGGGTGAGAGGGCCCTGCAGGCTGCGGGGACCCCTACACATCACATGAGCAAGAGCTTTGGCACGAGCTGATCCCACTTGATCCTCTCCCATCCCTCCTCCTCCCCCTGCTCCCCCTCGTCTTCCTCCTCGTCCTCCTCCTGCTCCTCCTCCTACTGCTCCTCCTATAGCTGGAGCCAAGCGTTCTCAGATACAGGTTCGGTATGCCCTTCAGGGCAGCGGCTACAACTCGTGAGGTTGCCCCATGACGCCCAGGAAAAGCCTGGGGGATGGGTGGGCCCCTCATCGTCGCCTCAGCTGGCATGGTCACGGTTGAGGGGATTAGGCAGGCAAATTTTAAACGAATCCTCCTCCTCCTCCTCCTCCTCCTCCTCCTCCTCCTCCTCCTCCTCGCCCTCCTCCCCCCTCCCCCCTCCTCCTCCTCCTCCTCCTCCTCCTTCTCCTCCTCCTCCTCCTCCTCCTCCTCTCCTCGCCCTCCTCCCCCCTCCCCTTCCTCCTCCTCCTCCTCCTCCTCCTCCTCCTCCTCCTCCTCCTCGCTGGCTGGCCAATGGCCGACCGGCCGCGGAGACCCCAGGCAGCCTGGCTCTCGTGACCCTGGAGCTGCTGCGACAACTCATAGTCCACGTCCATGGCGCTGGCAGGGCACGTCGCCGTCGCCGTCTTTGGACGAAGAGCAGAAGAAGGAGAATGATGATGAGGAGGAGGAGGAGGCGAAGATCGTCAGAAGATTGCGAGGGGGATTGATCTACCACGTCACTAAGGAGAAGGAGGGGCGAGGACAGGGAGGAGGACATGGAGGAGCGGAAGGAGGGGGAGGAGAAGGAGGAGGAGGAGGAGGCGAAGATCGTCAGAAGATTGCGAGGGGGATTGATCGACCACGTCACTAAGGAGGAGAAGGGGCGAGGACAGGGAGGAGGCCATGGAGGAGCGGATGGAGGGGGAGGAGGAGGAGGAGGAGGAGGAGGAGGAGGAGGAGGAGGAGGAGGAGGGGGGAGGAGGTAGCGAGATCGTCAAAAGATTGCGAGGTGGATTGATCGCCACGGTCACTAAGGAGGAGAAGGGGCGAGAGACAGAGAGGAGGACATGGAGGAGCGATGAGGGGGAGGAGGAGAGGAGGAGGAGGAGAGGGAGGGAGGAGGAGGCGGAGGGAGGCGTGAGGAGGAGGAGGAGGAGGGGAGGAAGCGGAGGAGGAAGAGGAGGAGGCCAGATCGCAAGGAAGATTGCGAGGGGGGCTTGATCGATCACGTCACACGAGGGGAAGGGGCGAGGACAGGGAGAGGGACAGGAGGAGGAAGGAGGAGGAGGAGAGGGAAGGGGAGGAGGAGAGGAGGATGAGGAGGAGGAGTAGAGGAGGAGGAGGAGGAGGGGGAGGAGGAGGAGGAGGAGGAGGAAGAGAAGGAGGATGCTGAAGAAGGGGGACGGAAGGCGGGGACTAGGAGAAGAGAGGAGGAGGAGGAGGAGGAAGAGAAAGAGGGGAAGAGGAGAAGAAGAGAAGATAAGAACGGTCACGATGGGGAGAGGGAAAAACACAGAACTTCTTCTCGTCCACCCCTTCTCCAACAACCACATCCCAGCCGTTCTTCGACTCCCCTCATCCTCCGTTCCTTTCTTTTGTAAATAACTTCTCCTGCCGGTCGAAAAGGCGGGCCGGGCGTTTCGCCTGAGACTTCGCCACCATTTACGACCCTGGAGTCTAAAACTTGGCAACCGTTTCACAGATGGCGGGCGGGTCGTTTTCAAAATGTGGATCTCGCCTTAGCGCCGCGCACATTCGTCGTACAAATTTACAGGAGTTTCACGGGTTGAAGGCGGGCGGTTTTCAAAATGTGGCTCTCGCCGAAGCACTGGGCACGTGTGTTTTAAACGTTTGCAACAGTTTCACGGTTGAGGGCGGGTCCTTTTCAACATGTGGCTCTCGCCTTAGCGCCGCGCGCATTCCTGTTTTACAACTGCAGAAGTTTCACGGATTCCCATGGTCAACGTACCAGAAATGATGTTCTAGAAAGATTCAGGATTACGAGGGTGCAACAATTACGTTAATTCGCGGTGTTGAAGTCGCAGGAATGGCGTTCTGGCACGATTCAGGATCGTCAAGACGCAACACTCAAGTTGATCCGTGGCGTTGGAATCTCGAGAATTCGCCGGCCCAACGGGCCAGGGCGTGCTAAGATCTCCGGTAACTGGTTAACAGTATTAACAGTATTTCTAGTTCGCGCGCGCGGGGCGGCCCCTGGGGGTCCCCCGGCGAAAAGTACCCCGACCAACGCCCGGTCGCCGCCCGACCGCCGCCCGACCGCCGCCCGACCAAGTCTACTCAGAGATGGTTTTCCTTCTGGTGCGGCCTCTCAGGCTCCCCAGAGCGCGCTCAGAGTGCCCCAAGAGGCCCCCGAGACGCCCAAAGAGCGCTCCAAGACGCCGAAGATGACCCCAAGACGGCCCAAAAGGCCCCCAAGACAGCCCAAGAGGCCTCCAAGACGCCCCAAGAGCCTTCCAAGAGGCCTCCGAAGAGAGCCCCAAGAGGCCAAATCGTTGATTTTCATTGTTTTTTTCGATGTTTTTTGTGTTCTGGCTTTTTCGGCTTCCAGACGCTCCAAGACGGCCCAAGAGGACGGCCCAAGAGGCCCCCAAGACCGCTCCAAGACAGCCCACGAAGCTCCCAAGACGGCGCCGAAACGACCCAAGAGAGCCCTCAAGACGGCCCAAGTGCCGCCCAAGACGGACCAAGAGGCCCCAAGACGGGCCCAAGAGGGACTAAGGAGGGATACCGAGAACTCAAAAATGGAGCCCTCCGTCCCAGAAGGCGCCCAGGAGGTCCCAAAGAGGCCCCAAGAGGCCTCCAAGAGGCCCCAAGATGTCGCCAAGAGGCCCCAGGAGACTCCCAGGAGGCCCAAAAGAAGCCCCAGAAGGCTTCAAACATGTCTCCCAGGCGCCCCCGAACGGCATCTCAACAGACCCCAAGAGGCCCCCCAAAGAAGCATCTTGACGACGACTCTATTTCGCCCCATCGAGAGACGACCCCCAGGGAACTGCTTCACCATCAAAACTCCCCACGCAACGCGTCCGAACGACACCCGCCCCTAAGAGCGCAACATGGGCAACGAACACACAGACAAAAACCAGCGATGCCATATCACGGGCCGGCGGAATGAGCGAAGCGATTCAATAAGGTCTTGGAACGCTTCAGGCTCTTCAAACGGTTGTCTTCCAACGAGGCAGCTCCCTCAGTGGAAATGAACCGTTGTGTGGGGCCTCTGAAGAGGGAGCTTGGATAGAGGGTTGAATCAAACACCTTTGATGACTCTTGGATTCACACTGGTCCTCCTCCTCCTCCTCCTCCTCCTCCTCCTCCTCCTCCTCCTCCTCCTCCTCCTCCTCCTCCCCCTCATCATCATCACCATCATCACCACCACCGCCATCACCATCACCATCACCACACCACACCACAACCACCATCATCCATCATCATCATCATCATCATCATCATCATCATCATCATCATCATCATCATCATCATCATCATCATCATCATCATCATCATCATCATCATCATCATCATCATCATCATCGTCATGGTCATCATCATCATCATCATCATCATCATCATCATCATCATCATCATCATCATCAGCATCGTCACCATCACCATCACCATCATCATCATCATCGTCATCATCATCATCATCATCATCATCATCATCATCATCATCATCATCATCCTCATCCTCATCATCAGCATCAGCATCAGCATCAGCATCAGCATCAGCATCAGCATCATCAGCATCATCATCATCAGCAGCAGAATCAGCAACAGCATCACCATCAGCATCATCATCGTCATCATTATCATCATCATCATCATCATCATCATCATCAGCATCGTCATCATCATCATCAGCTTCAGCATCGTCATCATCATCGTCATCATCGTCATCATCGTCATCACCTTCGTCATCATCATCAGCATCACCATCATCATCGGCATCATCATCGTCGTCGTCATCATCGTCGTAGTCATCGTCATCATCATCAGCAGCATCGCCTCCATAATCATCATCGACGTCGTTGTCGTCATCCTCATCCTCCTCCTCAAGATCATCATCAACATAATCAATAGCAGTATCTCCATCAGTCTCATCATCATCAGCCGCAGCAACATCATGATCAATATCAACATCAGCATCAGCATCCAAATCCTCACCATCAACAACACCATCACAATCATCATCGCCATCGCCGTCGTCATCGTAAGCGGCATCGACGTTATCATCGGTGTCGTCATCATCAGCATCATCAGCATCAACACAACCTCATCACAGAGTCATTACAGCACCCTACCACCATCAGTAGCATCAGCCATCAGCAGCAGCAGCATCAGCATCATCATCACCATCAGCGTCACCAGTACCATCACGACCATCATCATCAACATCATCACCATCACCAGTACCATCACCATCATCATCATCACCGTCATCATAATCATCACCATCACCATCAGCATCATCATCACCAGCTTCACCATCAGCAGCATCATCATCGCCATCGTCACCCTGTCCCTGCCCACCCCAACTCCTCCCCCCTCGTTCTTCTCCTCCTCCTCCTCCTCCTCCTCCTCCTCCTCTTCCTCCTCATCCTCATCATCAGCAGCAGCATCATCGTCTTGCAGCTTTCCTTCATCCATACATTTTGTTGCGTCGCACCCCGAGACATGTCGGAAGGGCGTTTCGCCTGAGACGTCCGCAACATGATGGTCATGAGGCGTGAAAACTGCAAAAAAATACGCGGACCGAGGGCAAGGATGCAAAGGGAGTAAGGGCTCTCGCCTTAAGCGCCGGGCACATTCGCCTTAAGCGCTGACTGCAACAGCTACAGGGATGGAGGGCAGTTCTTTTAAAGAGTGGGGCTCTCGCCGTATCGCCGCGTGCAATGGCAGCAACAGCTAGCAACCGTTAAAGAAATGGAGGGCGGCGCCCGTGACAGTAACGGTTTAAAGAACAGGAGGGCGCAACAGCTTGCACCCTAAAGTAATGACGCCTCAGCGCCGCGCGCTGTCGTCGTCAGCGCGCGCGACAGTTGCGATGGCAAAGGGCGGTCCCATTTCAAAATGCGGTTCTCTCATCGGACTTTCATGACCTCAATGGCCAGACGATTGGACATGCCCAAAGAAGTCACGAGTTCCAGGCGGCGTCTTCTCAAGCGGGGGTTCTCGCTTCACTTCCACAGTCTGCGGTGGCAAGGAAGGTTTGCAGGGGCGTGCGAGGACAGGACTTGAAACGGGCGGGCGCGTTGTGGCTTGTCACTTCCTTGGTGTACTCTGGCCTTCCTCCGTCCCCTCGTTGTCCCCAGCTGCCTCCCCCCCCCAGGAAAGCAGAAGCCCAGCCTGCGCGCGACCGATCCGAACCACGGCAAAAGACGGAGGAGGAGGAGGAGGAGGATAAGGAGGGGGAGGAAGAGGGGCAGCAACAGCAGCAGCAGCAGGAAGAGGGGGAGGAAGAGGAGACGGGATGGGGAGGAGGAAGAGGAGGAAGAGAAGGAAGAGGACGAGAAGGAAAAGAAGGAAGAAGAGATGGAGGCGAAAAACCGCAAAGCCCGCGAGCCATCATCCACCTTCCCTCCTGTGTGTGTGCTCCCTGC